CAGAATCGCAGATGGTGCTTGACAGGCTGACAAAGAAAGATTTCCAGGGATGCTTCCAGGCTTAGCAGCGGCGCTGGGATCGTTGTGTTCACTCCCAGGGGAACTACTTCGAGGGTGATGGATGAATTTAATACCTGAGATAAGTGTACGGGTTTTATAGGCGCAGTCTAGAAACTTTCCGATCGCACCTCGTAAATACCAGAAACCTAGACCAAGAAAAGATGGACAGATCACTGAAACCCTGCAGTACTCATGAAATGCAATTGCATCTCTGCAGAGATCATGACAATGAAGTTTGCACTGAAAGAGTTAATACTAGGTTGAGATTAAATGTCAAGGTTATTAAGTCATTGCGTAACAAAATGTTGGGCCACTAAGGCTGAAACAAAAAAATCATGTAAGTGCGGTGAAGTACAATGCCAAGATAGACATGTTGTCCTTGAAAAGAGGGAGGAGGGTCCATGGTAAAATCTATTCACAGATGCATAATTAGTTTTCCGTTGAAAGAAATAAAGAGTGGTGTTGATGTTATCAGAAGTATAATAATATTTTTGTTTCAGATCAAAACATGGAGTGTAAACAATTTAGGGAGTTTGCCAAGGATATGGTGGACTACATCGGAGACTACTTGGAGAATATCAGGGACAGGTATGTTTATCGTAGCACGGCGATATTTTCTAGCTAGCGTACCTTCCTAATTTTGTGGGGAAATGTGAATTTATGGTGTATTGCACAATTTCATGCATCTTGTCACGATATGAAAATAATTGGATATTTTGGAATCAATTCTAACTGGAAGTATCTCTAACCGTTAAAATATCTGGTTTGTATAATTTCACAAAAGAGGTGTATTTGTAGATAATTTCTTATTTTACGATCTTAAGAGAGAACAGTATATATCGTACTAGCACACGGTAGACATAACATTAAACATAATGGAATTAAGGAAAGGCGAGCTTATGTTTCAGAATGATGAAGACAATTGCTATTTGCTATATTTAATGAACGAAAGAAGTTACAACAAAGGACTAACTTGAAACATGTGGAGAGACTTAAGCTTTCTATGTGTTCAATGTGCTCTTGCCATTTTACGCTTACGTCTGTGGAGGGCGCTTTAAGTGGTGGTAAACATGAAGCATTTCTGTTCATGTTTCAAATTATTTAATTTCTGTAATTTCTTTGGCTCATTAAAGAAAGCAAATTGTATTTGTCTTAATCGTTCTGAGACGCTCTGTGTTATGTGTAGTGGAGGCTAAATGTACCTCTCCATCATAATCCCTCTCACCGGGAACGGTTCATGAATCTCAGATCTCCGTTTCAATTTCATGTAGTTGAAACGTATTAAAAATCTAGAGTAATTTCAGGATTATTACAACTGAAGACTGCTGTATACGGTATAAAAGAGGAGTGGTATCAAAATGGATAACATGAACCGTGATTATAATTCATATCACGATAACTGCAAGGAACAGTAGTTTTAATGACAGCTCAGTCAAATGGTACCACTACACACTTTACGCTATTTTGCCTTAAGATGAAATATGACGTGTTCTATCGCACAAACTGCTTAACTACCACTAAACTGGGGTAATTATATAAATGCACTTTGTTTTTCTCGCTGGGCTACGTAACCCTCAACGGGAGAAGGGAAATTCGTACAAAAGTTTGGTTGGAAGGTCTGAAGAGAAGAGACCACAATGTAGGCCCATGACTTCAGCAGCGTGAGAAACTACAGTCAGTTTAATTTAGTTTTTGAATCAGTCTGAAGACGATTTGATTGAATTTAGGTCTGTTGTCTGTTCATGTAAGCCTTGTTCTTTCAGTACCACTTCCTCATTTTGTGCCATGTAACACGAAAACACGTTTTCTCAATGTGTTACGTCATATAATGTACAGTGAGACTGGCATGTAAGGACGTACTTGTGGTCTTTTATCAGGGCCTATTTCATCGCCTGTCCCTTTCCAGATCGCATTGAAAGTACAAGATGTTTAAAATTCGTTCATGAAGTAAATTAAATGTAAACATATCCTGGTTATTCTGGTCAAATCAAAACTTTTTCTTTCTTTTATGCAGCAAGCATGTTTTGTTATTGTTTTCTACTATACAATGAATTATTATTATTATCATATAAAATGTTTGCATTTTCTGAAAATCTATGACCATGCATCATTGTATGGCCCTGTTACAAGTGGCGCTAATGTCCTCCAGGTACTTGACGCAGAATTTGGGAAATTAGCGCCTTTGACCTTGATCCACTTTCGCAAACCAACCAAGGTTACTCTTGAGTTTCTCTTTCCCATACGATGCCCTTCTTTCTTTGTGCAGACAAAGGCCTTTCATTTTAGAATACCGCAGACAAAACTTTTTACGTTGCATAATAACCCTGGTTCGAATTTCGGACTGAGTATTTTCGTTTTTTTTTCTCATTGTTTCAGAGGCAGGCGCTAAGTAGGACTGGACTGCCACTTTTGGTGTCCCTTTCAAAACATCGTCTATGATCATTTCGGAATTTGGTGTTAGATTTTGGTTATCAGTAAGAACGGCTTGAGCCAAAAGTAATTTGCATTGAAGCGCTTCTCACGGAGTACCAAAGTTACAGCCGATGTATTGACGTACATTAAACGAAAAAATAACTGTCTTATAGGAGTACGAAATTCATGCCATGTCTTTCATTTGTTTACGAACTACAAAATGAAATTCGTATTGAGTCACATTAAAAAAAAATGGGCTCGTCCGGGATTTGAACCCGGGACCTCTCGCACCCAAAGCGAGAATCATACCCCTAGACCAACGAGCCGACAATATTACTTGCTTATCTACGCAAGTGATATTACAAATGTTGGCTAATTAATATCTGGTGTGTGTGTGTGTGTATGATTTTATTGCCTACTCATCACTGCTCTTGCGTGCCTGCAAGCATTGTTGATGTCCAGACGTGACACCTGACACTTGGACCTGTCATGTAGATGCTAAATACTGCTGAAACATAATTCTGTGTTCGTAATCTGCAGCCATACTCGGTTCTTCTGATCGACGTGTAACTGTATCAATGACTCATGTAACAAGCCTATTCAGTTCTATTCAGTTAAGTTAAACAACTTTCACTCTGACTCTGCTATTTATGCGTACTATAAATATGTTAATGAACATTGGACATGACAACTATATGTAGGCTTCTTTCTTTGTTCCGGAGCATAAGCCAAGCGTATGATAACGAAGTGTTGAGGAAAAATTTGAATCCTGAAGGTGACAAGAAGTGCATACTTAATGTTGATTCCGGAAACTTTTATTAAAACGTCTTGTGAAGAACAGGATAAATGCGAGGTGTAGGGAGATATAACAGTATCTAGTGTCAATGTTAAGAATACGTAGGTATGTCTAATTTTATCTGTTTAACTTTAAAGTAAATTGAAAATTATCTGTGTTATGTAACATGTAAGCAAATCAATGAACTACGCATTGCTTCTTTATGTCGTTACAATCTGTACCTGTGAATTAGTGACATCTATGTTTGCCATTGATTAATATCGTCACATTTAACACCGGTCTCTTTTCCTATCAACGAAGTAATCATTTTCAAAACAGTACAAAATATTATCAACTTGATCGTCAGTTAAATTTGTTCTAGGTAAATTGTATGTTTTGAGAAGGTAGAAGGGACACGTAAAGGAGAAACTGTCGACAAATATAATTTTATGTGGTTGTTACTTACGAGGTGTGACAATTAAGTTCCCGGAATATCCCCGTAAATGCTGTAATTTCTCACACACCAATGGTTGCTGTCACCTTCGAAGTAGTCTCCTTGCGCACTAATACAATTATTAAGTCAGTGTTTCCACTGCCCAAAACTTTTCTGGAGCTGCATTTCTGGAATGCTCTTCAGGACGGTCGTCGCATGTCATTGAATGTCGGCAATGTTTGAAAAGCTGTGGCTCTTCAAAGCGGTCTTCTGTTTTGGAAATAGCTAAAAGTCGCACGGGGTCAAACCTGGCGAATGTGGTGGGTGGTCCAATTTCAGTACCGATTTTTTGGTCAAAAACATCCGGAAAGCGAGTGCTTCATGAACAAGGGCATTGCCATGATACAGAATCCAAGCATCAGGCCAAGTTCAGTTCTCTTCTGACGTAACAGTCTCATGTAACCTTGCCAATATTTCCAAACAAAGCTGGTTCACCGTTTGACCTTGTTCAACAAACTTAAAGTGAATAATGACCTTGTAACTATAAAACAAAACAAAAACATTCTTCAAGTGTTGTCGACCCATTGTAACCCTTTTATGCCACTCAGAGACGTTTTCATAACAACAGCACCATAAAGCTCCTTGTTAACATCTGCAAAGTCTCAATTGCCCCTTTGTCCTGCTCTGTACACAATTTGACGTCAATGCGTTGCTCCACGTACGTACCTACAACTCAGTTTTGCGCCGAGACGTTATTTTGTGGCTGCTACTGCATCGCTACTACTGCTTTATTTTCTTCACCAACACAAGATGCAACCACAAAGTTGTCGTATAGTCGGCGCAGTAGTTTTTGGCCGGTAGAGAAGATAGCGGAGCTGGCGGACGGGCCTACTCTGTGTACCTGAGGTGGCACGGTCAGCGTATTTCTTTTGTTTGGGCGTTCAGTCCGATAAGTTCCTCGGCGCAATCAGCATTATACTATCGCACAAGACACTCGCTCCTAGCCTTCCCCTTGAAAATTCCACCGGCCAAAAACTACTGCGCCAACTATAACACATCACTGTTTAGTTATTGCTCACTGGCTACTCGATGCGTCATTTGTGCGGGCGTTCCGGGAACTTAATTGTCACAACTCGTGTTGTAGAAGTGAGCTTAAGGAAGAAGACAGTTACAGGCTGTGGACTGGATTAATCGGACTGATGGCGGATTCTTATGCACGCGGTAATATACATTCGGGGTTTCACAAAATTCGATACATTTTTGTCGAAATGAGAGACTGTTAGCTTTGTAAGAACTCTGCTCCATTAGGTTAGTTGCGTACTACGAGTTTTCAGGCAACAGGTTCCTGGAGGGATAACGTTTGGGAACCAAGAGTCTATGGTTCAGCGAACTACAAATGGTGTAATGTTCGTTGTACAGGAGGGTACTGCCCACTGTGGAGCCTGGCTACTTAAGGCCGTTGCTGCCAGAAGAGGCCCCAGAGAACCCCGACAAGTGGCAGGATGTGATGGCCGACATCGAGAAGGTCATCATGCCGGGAGTGACACATTGGCACTCACCACGCTTTCACGCCTATTTCCCCACAGCTAACTCGTACCCCGCCATTGTCGCCGACATGCTCAGCAGTGGTATCGCCTGCATAGGCTTTTCTTGGGTAAGCGATTTCCGAAGGGTGATAGCACATGTCGCCAAATGAACGACGAGAATTGAACTGTATTGCGCATGACGTGATATTTGATCACAATGATCAGTTTTAAATAATTAGTAATGTAGCGAATGTGTGTCAGAGGATATCTGAAAATTTACTCAACATTAGTACACGTTTATTGCAGATCGCTAGTCCAGCTTGCACAGAGCTTGAAGTGGTAATGATGGATTGGTTGGGAAAGATGCTGGAGTTACCGAAAGAATTTCTTGCTTCAACTAATGGGAAAGGAGGCGGGATCATCCAGGTAAATACACATTGGTATTCATCGTATTTCAGCATTTTCAGACAGCGGTTACCACAGGCCTATATACGAGCTGATTTAATGTTCACTAACTCTAAATCTTGCCAAAACAATTAATTTCGGTGGATTTTATGCAGTCCCCAGAAACTGCGTCTTCCGAAGTGCCCATCGACTAGCTCTGTAAAGTGGACTGATGAAGTACGAAATGAGCTGGTCTTAGACAGGATAGGCGAAGGAAAAATCTTACGAGAAGAAGAGATAGGATGGTGGGGGACTTTCTGAGGCACCCAGGATTGGTTAATTTGGTAATGGAAGGAACAGTTGAAGGGAAGAATTGCAGGGGAAGACAAAGATTGGAATATGTGACGAAGATTTTTGAGGATGTGGGCTGCAAAAAATATGTGGAAATGAAGAGTTTGGCGCAAGATAGGCGAAAATGGAGGACCACGTCAAACCAGTCGAACGACTGATGACAAACAAACAAAATCCTTCATAAATGAACTGTTGTGTTAATGAGGGACGATCAGTTCAAAGTACACTGTTGAAAAATAGGCCTATATGGTAAGCCCCACACAAGACGATACGCTCTTGTATTTTACGTTTGAGTTTAGTATTTATATTGCTCATTTTACGTTGTTCTTCCTGATGTATTTTTAACAAGGTAATTCAAATAAGAGATAAGAAACTTTGGTAAATAATTCAGTATGTGTATTAGTTTTCTTAAACATCTTTTTGTTGTTTTATAACATATAAAATATTATCCTCGCTCTCTTGCAATTTAAAATATGGGCTCGTCCGGGATTTGAACCCGGGACCTCTCGCACCCTAAGCGAGAATCATACCCCTAGACCAACGAGCCGATGCATTACAGCGTTTTATATTTAATAGAGACCGATTCTTATCTCATAACAAAACTTGGTATGTAACTCGAGAAAGTGCAAAGTCAACATGGAGGTGACGCGAACTATGCACGATCAAGGACAAATCTAATTTTATAATACAGTACAGGAAGCTCTGTACAAGGTCGAAATTAGAAGATAAGAGAATACCAGTCAATATTACAGTTATCCATAACATTAAACCCGTGTATATTTGTGATAACATAATTTCTCATATACAATCTCATTGAACAGAATCGTAAATGTAGGAACATGTTTGAACTTTATACGAGGACGTTTAAAATTACTTGATATCTACAGATTTGGTTTTGGGGATTACCCTATTTGAATCCCGGTCAAGACCAACTACTCCGATTACGTCCTTGATTCTGCCACTTCAAACTTTGATCTGTGCTCGACTTGAAAGATATCACGTGCCAATGTTTTTCTTATAAAGGAGAAATTCGTACACATTAATCCACGTTCATATGAAAACAAAATAACAAATAAGGATGTCTCCTAGAAATTGACTGACACTTCGTATGTGATTACTGCATGCATCATCAGGGAGATTATAGAGACAGTAAGCACCAGAGAAACGTCGATAAACTTCTACTAGACTACACGGCCCAACATCCAAGAAGTCAGTATAGGATTCATTTTGGCGGTCTCTTATGAACACGGTTATTAAAGTTTTGGTCCTATAAAAGCAAATATTTTCAGGTTCAAAGACTATCTGAATATATATCAGCTTTGAAGGAAAAGTGCGTAAGCTGTAGTTAATTAGGGAAGTTTTTAGCAATAAAATCTTAAATCCAATTCTGTCTTAGAAATTCCCTAATTGCTTTTCGAACCAAGTCTGTTCTTGGGCTACACTGCGAAGTGCAACTGGAGTTGTTACGGTATTCCGCATTGTGAATCGTGTTTGATTGTTTAAGGGTACAGCTAGTGAGGCAACGCTGGTGGCGTTGCTCGGAGCTAAGGCGAAAGCTGTTCTCAGGGCGAAACAGGAACATCCGGAGTGGAATGATGTCACCATCATTTCCAAATTGGTGGGCTATGCCTCGAGTGAGTATCGGCACATCCTCAGAGCCCAAATTACGTACATGACTCAGTGCTTCTCAACATTTTCTGGTTTGACGGATCATTAAAGCAAAAATAGTTATCCACTGGATATTACCTAATATTGTTCTCCCACCTATGTGCTGGACTCCCAAATTGCCAAATTCCATCAGGTTTTCCAACTAAAATGTCGTATACATTCACGTATCGTACAAGTAATTATGTAGAGAATATTGGATTTGCAGACTCTAATTATTAATGAGTAAAAAAAGTGTGATTTTAGCAATTTTAAACAAAAGTACGTTTTGATAAAGTGTAACTGAAAGCAGTGCTTACGATTTAGTAGGGAAAACACCTAAATTTATATATAATTACCTGCAGCTTGAATCGTAATTTTCAAACGCAGTCAAACTACCATCATCCAGTCTTCACCGTAATGTGGAACATTTGTTATTGAAACCTGTCATATCGAGCATGTATTGTCACCTGCCCTGGTCCCTTTCAAACGCACGCAGTAGCGAACTGGTTGCCATGGAGACACTCCATCTCGAGTGCTCATTGTAAGCTCTCTCGCCAGAGATAACTTCATTAATTAGCTAGCAATTGACTGCTTGATGTACTGGAGAGAGTCTTGTATCGTACAGATTGAAAGTCAGAGTTCAACATGAGGTTGTTTCTCGACATCTCAACATTGTTCATTTCTGACACCAAAAACTAAAGCGTTCGTCATATTCTCGTCACCAAATAACAAGCAAGTAAATGCAAGCAAACGCATGGCGTAACAGTTTTGGAGCTTGGCCAGAATTTTACTTTTGACCTATGTGAACAGCCGGATTTTCCCCAGTTGGGGATTCCCGATCTTTGACTTTTATAAATGACCGGGGAATCCTCCGGCTGTGAATTATCCACCCAGTCACCCATGCGAGAAATAAGTAACATTTGAATTTCAGCTAGTTCATTTAACTGTTTTTACATACGAGACATAAGACAGAAGCCATGCCTATTTTATATCTATCTTCCATTTTCTGTGTATTAACATATTTCTAGAAATTTTAGGGACTGTGTCCCCTGCCTTCTTTCAGTTTCGAATTAACTCTGAAACTAAAAACCCTTGGATATTTGATAAGTCTTTTTGGGTATGAAATGATCTTATCACAAGTTTTAATCTTATATTCCGAAGCTCAATAATGATAATGAAGTTATTAAAGATAAAAATAACTCCTGTTTTATGTAAAGTACAGGTTGTAATGAGCTAAGACATCAAAAGAATTTAGTGTAGGATTCCAATACTAACATTCCTGGATGTTTACAAAGTTCTCAGTAAAAAAAAAAAATAACGCTAACTTTGTGGGCGCGTGTGTATAGACCAGGCCCATTCTTCAGTGGAACGGGCAGGTCTGTTGGGAGGCGTTAAGCTGCGTTTGCTTCCTGCAGACGAGAAGCTAAGGCTGAGGGGAGATACGCTTCAGAAAGCTATACAAGAGGACCGCCACAACGGGCTAATCCCATTCTATGTGAGTAAAACGGTTTACGTCTGAATTAAGGATAGAATTGCTCGAGTCTCACCGGCATTTCGTCTTTGCCTTGAAAATATCACGAGATGACCAGGCGCGTTGCTAATTTTATATTTTTTGCAAGTTCTGCTCAAATTCCACGAAGTTTAAATTATTTTCTGTTGTGAAGGGACTCTGACCACTTGGATATTTGACGACAACATCGCCGTCTGATAAATTAAATTAAAATTTGGCAACTATCGCTACATTCTTCCTCTCACACTATGGCTTGGTTCGTCGTACGTCGGGTCGTGTGAAGAGGGTATTGGCCACACCCCGTTGTGGATAAAACCTGTTCAAAAATAAACACTTTAAATTTAACTTCTATAGGCCTAAAAATGTAATGGAAATTATTGTAAAATTGTATCTCAGTTGTTAGTTAATTGATTTAATTTCGTGAAAGTAACATATAAAATAGTAAAAGACAGAATTTGTTCCAGTAGCTTTATGTTAGAAGATTAAAGGAATCTGTTTCTTTATGGATGGGAATTTTACACTTTTTTAAGGCTGTGGCAACTCTCGGAACAACAAATGCTTGTTCCTTCGACTCTCTGGATGAACTGGGCCCGGTGTGCAACGAAGAAAGCGTCTGGCTTCATGTGGACGCAGCTTATGCAGGTTAGAGATTTATTAATGACATGCAGGGTGCATAGAAGAGATAAAAATTTGAAGAAAATTTGGTCGAAAGATGTGAAGGTAGATTCGGGGGGATAATATTAAAATGAATTTTAAGAAAATAATGAGGGAGGGTGTTGACCGAATGTGTCTGGTTCGGTATTGGTAGGTTCTTGTAAACATAATAATGAACCTTCGGATTTCATAAAAGTCAGCTTATCAATAAGGAAATTGTTAGTTCTGTGACAATGCAACATTTGAATTTTTTCCCGTTTCGATCACTGGTGGTCAATTTAAGTACTTAAAACGAAGTTTCATATAAATCCGTTGTTAGCCACGTGTGTTCACCCCAATCTCTGTGATGTCTCTCCTTTACAAATGAGATTTAAGGTTTTCACTGCGGCGACTATAAAGATGGCTGTCTTCCGGGTTGTTAACGGTGTGTGGTCTGATAGAAGTTTACCGACGTTTCGGACTGATTACTCGCGTACGACTTACGCACTGCCCTGATGAATGATACAGAAGGTATCACGCAAACGTCGGTCAGTATCCGTCAGACTATACTTCATATTCGTTACTGTGAGATCCTAAATCTTACAGAAAATAACTTATTCTTACGAGAGCCATATCTGAATGTCACTACATTTCAGAGTCTAAATGAATTCTTTAAAAAAACACGCAGGAATTACTGCGTTCGAACGTGCATGGTAACTGGAAATTGAATGTTTTTTGCTCCTGAGTGTTGTAAAATCGGGCATATTTGTGTAGTGTCAAGTGTACGCTACACCGCGTGACATGTTAGACAGAAGTCGAATGTTTTATAAAATCTATTATACGTTGAATACTTTTTAGATAATTTTTTCAATACCGAAAGCAAAATTAATTCTAAACTTAGCCGAGTTCTGTGATGACAATTTCTGAACCTCGCTTTACGGAATTACAATTAACTCATCGGCTCATAATTGTATAATTCAACCTCTCTGCATTTCACGTTGTAATTCGACAGCGCTGATAGTCTCTGTGCGGCTGTCTATTTATACGAGTCTTGTTTGTTTTCTTTAGGCTCCGCCTTTATTTGCCCGGAGTTCCGGTACCTCATGACCGGAATTGAGCACGCAGACTCCTTCAACTTTAATCCCCACAAGTGGATGCTTGTGAATTTCGACTGCTCTGCAATGTGGCAAGTTTTGAGTATATTGGTTCGATTCCTTTCGTAGGAATTTGTGAAGCTTTTAATAAATTTCGGCAGTAATATAGTAAGAAATATCGACAACACAGTGAGAATGATCATGTTATAACTTGATAAGATACCCAGAAAATTTAATCTACATAATACGATTTATGCTATGACAGTAGTTTAGATAAAAGATTTCCAGTGTTGAAGAGATTTCTTGTCAACGCCAGAGCTAGTATTTATAAGACGAGATATATTATGTCTGGCATCAAAAGGGCCACACAAAATGTCAGTGGAGTGTTTCCAGCTTCAAAGCTGTAACATAACGCAAATTACGTAGTTAGAAAACGCATAGGAAATATTTGTTCCAAACACATGCCCTAATTTATTGCTTGTAATTGACGCCCTGCTTTAAACTTTCCTATTATCAAATAATTTTATGCTTAAGTACTATAAATCGGTGTTTGGAGCATCAAAATAGGCTTATTATCAAAAGTTAGCTAGAGTTAGCCATCTTGTTTAAATATCATAATTCCCTTTAGTATTTTAATATTAGTATTCAGCCTTTTCCCCAGTTAAAAGGATTATTTAGGATGAAGAATATGAGTTAAATTCATTACCGTACCAATTTACAGTGTTTTAACCAATCTGCCATGTGAATTCGATTTGAGAAACGATCTATGGTAGTTTTACGTGATTGTAGGTTGAAAGACCCCACGTACGTCGTCAATGCTTTCAACGTAGATCCACTGTATCTGAAGCACGACCAACAGGGCGTATTACCTGACTACAGAGTAAGTAAGAACGTCTATGTATTTATTAGATTTTTGTACAGAACAGTCTAGGAATACGTTCTTGTTACTTAAACTAATTATAGAGGTAAATGATTAGCGAATTAACAACCGCAACCACCACAATCTGACCAAATGTAAAACTGAGTCCTGGTTTTTGGACACTGAAATTTATTTTGCTGAAAGTAAAAGGAGCTCTCATCTCCACCAACTGATGCGGTTAGGAATTTGAGGAGTCTTACCTCCAATCCCCCCTTTATCTTATTACCTTAACTTAAATTTAACTTTAATTTTCGTGCCTATAATAATTTTAGCTCAGTCGGTATAGTGACTGGCTACGGATTGGGCGACCGGGGTTCGATCTCCGACGGGGGCAAAGGATTTTTCCTCTAGCCTCTGCGTCCAGACCGGCTCTGGGGCCCACCCAGCCTCCTATCCAATGGGTACCGGGGTCCTTTCCCGGGGGTAAAGCACGGCCGGGGCGTGATGCTGACCACTCAACCCCATCTAATGCCGAGGTCGAGAATGAGTAGGAGCTATACCTCCACTCCCCCCAAGCGCCTACATGGCGTATAGTGGGACAGCTTTACTTTTTTATAATAATTTTCCAAATACGTTTAATCCTACTAAATTGATTTTTTTTGTGTATGATACTGGTAGGACGTGTGAAGGAGTAAAATCACATAATTTTGTACTAAAATTTTTGTAATTCTACCGGATCAAGATGGAACGTTGTGCTAGTGGAGCGTAGTCCCATCTTGTTGCAGAGAACCGTCATCCTAGATCCTTGACATGTTCATCATTTGTTTTGAAGCACTGGCAGATCCCATTGGGACGAAGATTTCGGGCTCTCAAACTGTGGTTCGTGCTGAGACTGTACGGGGTCCGCAATCTACAGGCCTTCATTAGGAAACACGTAGCTCTTGCTCATGAGTTTGAAGATCTCGTCCGTCAGGATAACCGCTTCGAGATTTTCTCGGAAGTTGTCCTCGGCCTCGTCTGCTTCAGACTTAAGGTAAGTTACGTTTGTCCCATAGCATCTGGGAAGTCCCTGGTTAAAATCTCGGCCCGGAGACAGGTGCCTCCAGGCAAATATCGGGATAGTACTTTTAATTAATCCACGACCGCTTCCTTCCCCATCCTTTCCAATTCATTATCATTCGACGCTATTTAAAAACTACACTGCAAAAGCGTCGTTAAATAAACATCTGCGGAGTTCAGAGAGGAAGAACGGTCTGTGTGCTATCACGATGTGGAACAGAATAGGGTTTAGTAGTGGTACATCTCTCATGCGTGCTACATGATCCACCCATTTCACTTTTATTTGATATTGATGAAGAGTGCAAATTACGAAGTTCCTCATGCAGTTTGCGACCAAACGCCTTCATTTATTGATAGTGTGACATTTCCGCTACACCAAATTATTACACTGTCATGACTCGGTAATGAGAGCCTCGTTTATATGTAACGTTGCAGGGCTCCAATGAGCGAAACGAGATCCTTCTGAAGCGTATCAACGGTCACGGAGTGATCCACCTCGTGCCATCCAAGATTGGAGACACGTACTTTCTGCGGCTCGCCATCTGCTCCAGATTTACCGAATCTCAAGACATACAGTTGTCGTGGAATGAAATTCGAACCCTGGCCGACGATGTTCTGGCTGAGGACCAACCAGGGAAGTGATTAAAGGCCGCCTTGCAACGGAGGTGTCATGCTCTCGGCTGCTCTCAATCTTAAACCCACGCACCACAAGCCTTGCTCTCTCTGTCTTTTACATTGAGACTCGAGGAAAATTTCCCCAGTACCCTCACCCCTCCTAACATCCACCCCCGCGCTTGAATCCCCTTTTAATCAGATGGTGTAGTTTGATATTTGAAATCCAATAGAAACAGTTTCTTGTTGTGATATAGGAAAATACATAAATACCACATTTTAAAATAAATATTTACAAATGTTTTATTTACCTGATTTAAGAACCACGATACCTCAGTTAGTAACGTGATTGTGTATTATTTAAATAACTGAGGGTCGATTCCAGGAATGTATCTTTTTCTATTTCACTTTCATGTACGATGTTGAATTGTTTCTCTATCTAATTAACGAAGCCACAGAAAGTATGAGGGGCAAAATAATGTGTTGCAGCAAAAATGTGGGTTAGATAAATTGAAACCTTATTTTGTTAGGTTCATTGACATTCACGTTGCTCTAAATGTGTAATAATGGATAATTGTAACGTATGTAAATTCGGATCTGCAGCGGTTGCACTTTCTATGTTCAGTGTCTGCTGTCAGACATAGTAAGGAATTTATTTTGCTTTATGTATTTCAATGAGATCGTGGTTGGCCTACTTTTATGTTCGGATCTGCAGCGGTTGCATTTTCTATGTTCAGTGTCTGCTGCCAGACATAGTAAGGAATTTGTTTTGCTTTATGTATTTTAATGAGATCGTGGTTGGCCTACTTTTATATGTTCTGGGACCACATTTTGCGCGTAATACGAACTTTATGGATAGGAAAGAAAGGCCTGTAGAACAGCTACTGTTTAGCAATTAATGACATATTTTACTCTTGTGAATCGTGTTTGTGCAATTCATGTAAATGTATGATATGTTAATAATGTAATTTATAAATGTATGTAATCTGCGTTCTTCGAAAATAAAACTATCGTACATACCAATGACGTCAACCAATTTTAACTCCATACTCATTCACAATATGAATATTTGATCTTCATTTTTAGTCACTTCCTAATTGGCCGTGATTTTATAAACTAAACATCATTTAGGCCTATATTAATCCAAACTGTTACATATCTGTATTTGCTAAAACATAATTAAGCCCAAATTTCTGAGGTTCCAGAGATGACTTGGCAAGCTGAAGTATTGCCAACTACTCGAACACCACCGGATGTCGTACTGTTCATTTGGTGCGATCACAGCGTCCTACTACGAGCGCCACAGGAGTAAGCACGTAGTACCATTTTGAGCGCATCACGTTTTTCGTGTCACCACAGCGAAAGATTTCCAGTGAATTGACCTCTTCGTCGGACAACGCCCTCGCTCTTACTGGAGACCGGCAATCCTGAAGAAGATTTTCCTTAGTTCCTCCGGGAAAATGGGATAAAATGCTTCCGAAAATTAGGCCACGACAACTTCCTTTTAAATCCTTTGCCGTCATTTGTTCACTGACCACTTATTATTTGATGCTGTATAATCTGAGCTATTGACAGTTCTTCCTTTGGCCTTCTCACTGTTAAACTTCGATGGCAGCTAACAGGAGATGACAGAAAAAGTAAGGAATAGAACACAATTGCATCTGGAAAGATTGATTGTGGCTTCCGTAATTGGACTCTACCTACTGGAACAGCGTGTTGAACGATGGGACTAAAACCACGTCATGTTTATGATACAATTTTCGGTGCTCTGTAAGAAGTGCTAATATTAAAAAAAAAGTAATTGATTTCAGGGTACTTGTTGCGAACCAAACAAAGTTTCAGGCCTTTGTAAATAGATTAATGTGTGTCGAACTTTAAAACGCGCTCTGTGATTTCGATATTCGTTTTTCGAACGGGGTGACGTCACGACCCTGAGCTCCAGTACTATCGATACGTTCGAGTTCGAGATCTTTCGCACTCTGGCCGAAATCGAAAGACCTCAGTTGTGTTTATGCAGTGGTGATCGCAACATTGCTCAGCAAGCTATAGTGGCATACCAGCAACAGGTAAGTGATATAACTTGAACTTGTTTCTGCCCATGTGTTGTTCTGCATCTTTTCCGACCTCGATTATATTTCTGCGTCTGGTTTACAGGGATATCCGCGAATTGCATTATGACCATTCTGTAACAGCCCAATGCTTCAGTTTCTTTTAGACAAATGAACTTGGTATCTTGGCGAAATGCCATAAACATTAGGTGTTTTGGGTTATTGTAATTCATAATGGTCACGCTGCAGTTTTATTCAGGAGATCTGAGGTTCTCACGGCGTTAAAGATGCCTATGTTGGTGAGCTCTGAAGACAGGAAGTATTTTCCTCCGAAACGTTGGTATCTACCTGCAGGTTTCCTCGCCGCTTCTACCCAAAAGATGGTAGCTTTACTTCATGGAAATATAGGAAGATATTGTTAGTTGACTATAGTTGAGCGTAGATTCTAGTCACAAACGGAAATTACTCACTACAAACAGCACAGATTTACACACAACACACACACTTCGCCTCTCAGTACAGACGTCTGTGGTTTTATCCGGAATTTTATTTTTCTATTTGACTGGTTTTTAAGCAGGTTACTTTTCTGTGCAGAAAACATGTTTTGTTAGAATTATTTATCTGATCTCGCGTTTTCCAATTGGGAAGGGGAGTATAATAAACAGCTCGTTACATCACAATCCATCTCTGTTTTTGTTATTTATCAAACTAGGACTCGCATAGAAAGGTTTAAGAAACACCTGTGGATCGGTAAACATCATGCAGGCCTACAGAACATCAATCTTTAACATAAAATGTCTTTGTTGTCTTTCGGTCCCATTCAGTAGCTCTGGACCATTTTACTGTTACATTTACGAACCAGGTGTAGTTGTGGGTTTCGTGTTGTACAGAGCCAGCGGGATCCGCCCATACAATATCGTAATATCCACTTTTGCCCATGGGTCGCAGCACCAACGCATAAGGACTGCCAGGGCATATGAAGTGACGTCACATACACGTGCAAATCGAGGTCAGTGTCCATATATATGACAAATCAGAGGCAAAAAAAAAAGGCAAGGCTACGCACCGGGTGTAGACGTTTTTGATAATGGACAATTGTCGTATGCGGTTCCTCAGGAGGGCCATTTTTCATGCACACTAACATTACGACCGATTCCTTATTGCTGATATGTCGTATAAGTAATATAATTAAATATACATGGGATATTAATGTGATAGGTTTGACTGTAGAAACACAAGTTTAATCATTTTTTATAATTTCTCATATATGGTCATTAATGAGCACTAGGACTTTTTTTTAATTAACATGGGAATCTGTAGCATAAGTTATCCTATCAGGACTGTGTATGGCTGTAGCATACATGAACTCAATTTCCAGTGCTTAGTTCATCAGATTTGTACCCAGAAAATTATCAAGAATTATAAATAACAACCAAGTTTTTAACAGTGCTTTTCATGTTATAAATAGATAAAACACGTAGGCTTTGAGGTTTTCACAGAGGTGAGTTTGAAGATTTCTGTCTTCTGGGTTGTTGCGCCGTGTAGTCTGGTCGATGTGGACATCTGATAAAAACACATTTAAATTTAATTGATGTACCTTGAAGACTGACCTTTGTAATAATATACACAAAATCTTGTCAATTTTTTGGCTAAATATGTGAATGACTTAATGATTTTAGCACGTACCTGTTTGCCAAAGTACAAGTTGCTGGATAAAATACATACTACAATCTCGTTCTCCAATAGTTATGAGCAGTCTGTCTAGGTTTCCTCGCCGCTTCTACCCAAAAGATGGTAGCTTTACTTCATGGAAATATAGGAAGATATTGTCAGTTGACTATAGTTGAGCGTAGATTCTAGTCACAAACGGAAATTACTCACTACAAACAGCACAGATTTACACACAACACACACACTTCGCCTCTCAGTACAGACGTCTGTGGTTTTATCCGGAATTTTATTTTTCTATTTGACTGGTTTTTAAGCAGGTTACTTTTCTGTGCAGAAAACATGTTTTGTTAGAATTATTTATCTGATCTCGCGTTTTCCAATTGGGAAGGGGAGTATAATAAACAGCTCGTTACATCACAATCCATCTCTGTTTTTGTTATTTATCAAACTAGGACTCGCATAGAAAGGTTTAAGAAACACCTGTGGATCGGTAAACATCATGCAGGCCTACAGAACATCAATCTTTAACATAAAATGTCTTTGTTGTCTTTCGGTCCCATTCAGTAGCTCTGGACCATTTTACTGTTACATTTACGAACCAGGTGTAGTTGTGGGTTTCGTGTTGTACAGAGCCAGCGGGATCCGCCCATACAATATCGTAATATCCACTTTTGCCCATGGGTCGCAGCACCAACGCATAAGGACTGCCAGGGCATATGAAGTGACGTCACATACACGTGCAAATCGAGGTCAGTGTCCATATATATGACAAATCAGAGGCAAAAAAAAAAGGCAAGGCTACGCACCGGGTGTAGACGTTTTTGATAATGGACAATTGTCGTATGCGGTTCCTCAGGAGGGCCATTTTTCATGCACACTAACATTACGACCGATTCCTTATTGCTGATATGTCGTATAAGTAATATAATTAAATATACATGGGATATTAATGTGATAGGTTTGACTGTAGAAACACAAGTTTAATCATTTTTTATAATTTCTCATATATGGTCATTAATGAGCACTAGGACTTTTTTTTAATTAACATGGGAATCTGTAGCATAAGTTATCCTATCAGGACTATGTATGGCTGTAGCATACATGAACTCAATTTCCAGTGCTTAGTTCATCAGATTTGTACCCAGAAAATTATCAAGAATTATAAATAACAACCAAGTTTTTAACAGTGCTTTTCATGTTATAAATAGATAAAACACGTAGGCTTTGAGGTTTTCACAGAGGTGAGTTTGAAGATTTCTGTCTTCTGGGTTGTTGCGCCGTGTAGTCTGGTCGATGTGGACATCTGATAAAAACACATTTAAATTTAATTGATGTACCTTGAAGACTGACCTTTGTAATAATATACACAAAATCTTGTCAATTTTTTGGCTAAATATGTGAATGACTTAATGATTTTAGCACGTACCTGTTTGCCAAAGTACAAGTTGCTGGATAAAATACATACTACAATCTCGTTCTCCAATAGTTATGAGCAGTCTGTCTTATATTACCTTGTTTTTGGGAACAAAGTGTGCGTAATACAGGTTAAGGAGGAAGTATTCTTCATTAATTTATTCTACGAACTTTTGTGTTGTAGTGTGTGGTATGTTGTCAGGAAAGAGAGAAACTTTTAGGTGGAACTGTGCCATAGACTATTGAATGTTGGGCGTATACAGTTCACTATGTACGTCATTCAGTCGTTTGAAAATTCACATATGATAATTTACAATGGTTCTATTATTGTTTTAAGTAATGATGCCAAGAGGTTTAGACTTGATTGTGTGGCTCAGGATTTCATTGATGACTTATTGTGAATATGTTAAATAACGTTATAGTTTTGTGGACAATTCTTACTAGGACTCACAAACTTTTTAAGGAGGATTCAACGCTACAAACTTTCTTTATTACAATTTTAATACTTCACTCTGTATATAGAGTATCCAACAAACTTCATTACAACGGCTCGTTGGTCTAGGGGTATGATTCTCGCTTAGGGTGCGAGAGGTCCCGGGTTCAAATCCCGGACGAGCCCATTTTTTTTATGTAATACGGAACTGGTTCAGACTTTTTGGAATACGCAATATACGATGCTGCAAGAAACTAAGAACTTCGTCTGCGTTTGCCCAATTTAGGGCGCGTTTTGTTCGATACAAGTAGAGATACCAGCTAGCTCTTTCAATTAGTTATCTGAGCGTTCTCTAGATGGCAGAGCATGTATGTATTTCAAGATTCGATATTGCTTTACGGAAACCGATTAATAAAATCGTTGTCAGTGAATATCTTGTACCAATCGCTCCAGAATCAGTGACTATTAATATTCAGCAGTTTGTTGACAAAATGGATTTTTTGCTAGCAACCGATGCATATTTTCTTTGCCAGTTTGTTATGAAGACTATGAATTTTGTTTACTCCGAAGTAAATTACTTTAGCTTTCAGTTATGAACAAGTGAATATTGAAGTCTGGGACTGAAACTTTCGATAAGTTATCTACTCAAGGAAGCCCCTCGTTATGGTACGCTTCATCGCCATGAATTAAAATACACAAATTTAACGAAGCTAAATATATGCATAAATGCAGTAATACGAAGTGGAGATTGTTGAGTACAGATGAAAAATACGCTTTAACAAAGCAAAATACCTCCTCGTACACAAAATTAAGCTAGGAGGAACATGTCTAGCAGTAGAAAAGGCAAGAAGAAAAGAGATAATTAATAACGATATCAAATTCCTGTCCTGCAAAAAATAAAATTTGAATAAACAATTGTTTTATCTTCATTTAGAAAATGCGAAAACAGATAAATTTATGGTAATTTTTTTATTGTAATAAGTGGTAAGTAAGAAAAAAGAAAGTTAAACGAAGATGCAAGATAAGGGCCTTGCTTAAAACGTGCTGAGCCAACTTTGCTTGTAAACTCTAGTATGGGAGATGGAAGTGAGTTTAGAAATTTTTCAAAAATAAGAACATCGGATTTTGAATTGTTGGCTACTGTTCCAGTGTCCAAACATTGTCTTCTTTTCTTTTGTTTTTCTCAGATTGTTTATTTTGTCTCAAAATGTGGACCTTTGACAAAGAAGTTATCTGGGCACTTTTATGTCGTTATCACCACTTTAAGACCGTTATTTTTCACGAAGCTTGAAGAAATTTAATTGTGTTTTCAGCAATGTTCACATAAGTTCCTCTGTAGACAAGGTTCTTGCGTCTTTCTATAATATTTAACATTTGCTGTGTTTCTTAGCTAAAGATTAATACTACATAAAAGCATTCAAAAGATATTAATACATTACCCTTAAATGTTAGTCCACATTTTAAAATTCTCAGCATTTAGGACAGGGCACCGAACACAAAAGTAGGAGCTGTACGCGCCTACCTACATTATATGAACAACCCAATTTAACGTTATGAAAGATAACTCAGCAAAATGATAAAATAATGCATAGAAGCTACATGTTCCTTTTTATATGTTTATTTCTCGTAGTACAGATATTTAACAGCACTCTTTTAAATAATTTAGTCTATGTGGTTAATCATCAATAGTGTCAGAGTAGTACTCAGTAGTTATCCTACAAACATTAAAATACTAATAATTAATTATAAATCTACACAGAAATAAAAATATAATATTTTGGGAAATTATATAGACCAAAAAATCAGATATGAGCCTACATGTGTATTTGGTGCTACCCCATGTGGTTACAGTAATACCGAAAGAAGTTGCTCTATATTTTTTCGGAAGATTTTTAAAAAATATCGTCTTGTAAAACTGAGATTATACCTGATGGATAATGGAATATAACTATATCATTGTCCCTTCTCTTCCTCTGCCTCCAAGGTGGTATCCTGTCGAGACGTTTCGCACTTACCATTTTGAACCTGTGCTATACGAATCCATCACGTTAAATGAACATTCTGGAAATAATGAAGTGTACAATTTATGAAGCTCCACTTTAAATAATTATAATTGTCTTGTTCATATAGCTCAGTTTTATTATTTGTAATATAAATCTGTTTTTGAAATACCTAGTTCCCTCAGACATTATATTCGCAGAAGACAATTTTTTTTACCAAAGACAGGCACAAAAACTCAATTAAGGCAACCCAGAATCAGTTTTCTCCCAACTCAGAGTCCTTATTGGGCATTTCTTAATTCTAATTAGACCTATTCAAAGGATAAATGAACCGACTAATAAATCAGTCCGTAAGTAGATCAGATATTTATAAGCTACTGTGTGTTTCTTTGTGTGATATAAGTATGTTAATCTGTAGAATAATACGTCTACAGTAATTTATTGTAGCAAACCAAAATTGACATTATAGCCCTAGATTTTGTATCTTGTTTTGGTGAAAAATCGGCCCTGTGTTGTTCATCATCTGGAACTATCACTGTCATTGCCGTCACCGATGTTGACAGCCTGGACAGCATCATTAGTCAGGGCGATCATTTCCTTGGACATTTCTTCAATACACGCGTTACCAAGAACAACCGCCTCTGCTTGAATCAGTGTTACCCCGTTAATACCGTCAGGTAACAAAGTTTCTTTTGCCATTTCTTTGTTTATGGGCCTGTCTTCGTGGTTGTATCTACGCTTCTTACTTGCAGGGAGTATTTCGGATATGTCATCAGACGCCCCGTTTCCGTCGCTAATTCCACGTTCGTCTTCACAAACGCCATTTTGTTTCTTATGAGGAAGGTTATCTATTTCGGTGTCGACATTGTCGCCGATAACTTCATTGGCCTGGCTTCGTATCTCTTCCCAGGCGAACGCAATGTCTCGGGACTCTGTTACACGGCTGCACACCACAAACCGGATGATGTACTTATCCTGAAATGTCGCTGCGATAACGTAGATATTCTTACGCGCCATTAGACGGTCATGGAGTCTCTTCGTTAGTTGGTTTGGGCCCTGGGAATGAACATATGAACTTATTCATCACGTATAATTTTATCATTCACTGAGTTATTTTTATTTTAATAAATTTCTTTCGCCAACAACGTGTTTTGGTTGGCTGTGTGTACATTTGACTCAATTGCATTAGATAGTAGGTACTTTCAGTAGGCTGGACAAATTAAATCAGACCTTAAACTAATACGAATTATGATAGTTACATTGATAACCGGATGTAGGTCTAATGATGACGCCATGAGTAGATTATTCTGTAATTAGATTTAATGACTATACTGACATGAGTCGGTTTATCAAGCGTTGAGAGCGGAGTATATCGCGAAATGCTTGCGCAATTTTAAGTGAACACTAAATACGAACGACAAATTAACAAATCAATTAAATAATATCATTGAGTAACAGGCTACATAAGCTGGTTTGCCTGGAATTTTTAACATGAAGATTTCCGTCTTCTGGGTTGTTACGCTGTGTAGTCTGGTCTGTAGGCAGTATGACCTCTGAAACGTTGGTAAACATCGACCAGACTACACAGCGCAACAACCCAGAAGAGAGAAATCTTCATCGCACTGATGACGGAGGCAGTATGACCTCTGAAACGTTGGTTAACATCGACCAGACTACACAGCGCAACAACCCAGAAGACGGAAATCTTCATACTCACCGCTGTGAGAACCTCAAGTATTACAATTTTTAACATATTGCTAAGAAGTTTCAATATATTTTCAACTGCGAACCGCGACCTTACATCTAGAAAGACTAACAGCCCCTGATATAGTGGAGAGATTAAAATTTAGAGGGTTGTTAAAAAAATTTCGATATACAGTCTGTTCAACATTAAGGAAAGCCAGTAGAGAGCTTGATATGATTTACGTCAAAGAAATAATTAACCCAGAAGTATGCGTACGTTCTTTCAATTGCTTATTTGTCACTTTAACTTCGTTAAAACACAGGTAGATGAAGCTGACAGGTTAAGATATGGTTCTGAAGTTAAAGATACACGGAGCTTATATTCATGTCATGGCAGTTAAGCATAAAAATAACTTTACTCTTTAAACTGTGTTTGATTTAGCACAAAATAAAAATTTGCTCTGATGCTAGTAATTGTTACGTCCTTGAACAGTCTCGCGTTATAACCAAATCGCGTAATGAAAATACGCGTTATAACAGTTTGCCGTGTTATGATTGTTACCTTGAGACGGAAGCAGACCAGACCCAGGACGGCTTCTGTGACGACGTCAAAACGATCGTCTTCTCGAACCAGGGCCTCGAAATCTCGGGCCAAGGTGACCTGGTGCCGAATGTAGATTTGCAAGCCCTGGACCCCATACGACCTCAGCACCATCCATAACTTTAGCGCACGGAACCGGCGTGCCAGAGGGATTTGCCAGTGCTGAGACAGATAAAGTGAGAGGGTAGGTCTTCTGGATAGATCGAGGAAAACCATGCTCCACATTGGAATTCTATGGACAATTCTCCACATTCAAGTGAAACAATGCCACAAAATTGACATAACAAAGCGTATACTAAATGACACGGTTTATGCAAGACGTAGGGTGACGTAATCCCTCCACAGCCACACCTGAACCCAGAAAACCGGTTTTTAAAATCGCCCGTTTCCTTGCTCTATTCTCTACTTGTAATACCAACTGAAACATCACGGACTACAGAATAACAGATACATTTCAATTAAAATTGTGTCTCACTTTAAATGAGTCAGATGCGACAGCATTGTCCTAGCAGCTGGTATTTTTATAACATGTTAAGAGTCGTCTCAGTCAGTGGTGTTTTAAGAGTCGAAATAGACTATAACGACATCGATTTTGTCCTTCTTTTCATGGCAGCAAACATGTAAGTTTTGTTTTTATAGTATTGTTGACAGTTACCTACCAGCAGAATGAGGTAGCCATTTTACCACTGTTGTTGGTAGTCACCTACGAGTAACACTTTGCATTACAATAATCTCACTCAGCATGATGACTTTTTATTGCACTGAGAGTTTAAAGAAATATCAATAATTTTTTTTTTTAAATTTTCACCATTAAAAGACTCAAGTTAAGTTACTCACCCTGTAATCAGGGGATAGTCCCTGGTTCTTATGTCTCAGATAGATCCGGTCCACGTCAAACGCTTCCACTAAGAGTCTGGAGTCTTTCACCCTGTGAATAAAGACCAATGGCTTCAGGACCAATGTCTGTTACGAGTATTAGTTGGGCCAGGACTCGATGGAACAGAGTGAAATTTCTTACACAGAGTGAGCATTAACGAAATTTATACTTTTTAAATTGATTTATTTTCTGTGTCAATTTAAACAGTGTAGAGTTCTTTTGTACTCACCCTGTATATTAAGTAAATTAAATCACTATAAATGCGATTAATATGAACATTGCTTACCACATGGCGGAACACTCGAAAGTCACGAGGAGCCATTTGTGAGGATTGAAACAGAATGAATCAGCAAATTGCAGCCCGTTCATCATGTGACGATACTCCGGACATACGAACGCTGATCCTGCAAATTTAAATAGCAGGACTAACTGAGATTTCACGTTCTCACGGGGGACTTCTGGGTTCTTGTGCCGTGTAGAAGTTTACAGACAAACAAACTGATGATGGCAGCAGTTACCTCTGAAACGTCTGTGAACTTCTGCGCGGCGTAACAAACAAGAAGACAGAACAATATTAACTCTCATTTTGATAAAAGGATCCGTTACTGTAAAAGTCTGCCGATGGACACTATCCTGAGAATGTTCTTTCTGCCGTTCACATTCGCGACCTATTTCTGTAAGACCCACTTCATTTTAGAGCCTTGATGGCTCAATCAGTATAATGGCTAGGCTAGGGAATGTAGGAATTGTGGCTTTGTTTCTCTCAGGGCAAAGTTTTTCTCTTCGTCACAACGCTCAAACCGGCTCTGCGGCCCACCCAGAATCCAATCCGATGAATACTGGGCTTAATTCCTTTGGGCCTCAAGAAAACTACTCGTCTCCCGTACGCCTGTATGGTGTAATTCTTAAGTACCAGCGACAACTTTACCGCCTTAATAGTAACATCACATGTTTTCGGTGTTTCATAAAAATCCTCTTTGCATGTCTTGTCTCCCCCATCAGAATTATCGAACGTCGCGATCTCGCGGTTAGAACTTCCCGTTTCGTATTTGGGAGGTCCCTGGTTTAAATCTTGACCCGCAGACTGCTATCTTGATGCGGGAATAGTACTTTGAATTAATGCCACGACCGTTTCCTTCCATATCCGTTCCAGTTATGGCTCATTAGTCATCATTGAACGCTACATAATCTGAGTTATAACGGCGTAGTTAAATAGGCCATTTATCAAAAGTTAAATATATGTCTTGCCTTGAAATGTATTTTATTAATGTAATTATGAATTGAACTGAAGTTAAAAGCGTATTTATGACGACATTCGTCGTTATGTAACGTTCTTTACCCCCCACGTCATCCTCCTCAGTTCGACTACTTTCGTGGTTAACTAAGTCTGTAACTTTCTTTATCGGTCATATAAAGTGTCTTAACTTCTTGTATGAAGAGTTTTTTTAACACTACTGTACTGTTAATGGCAGGACATAGGCAAGCAATGGAAAAAAACAGCTCGCTGCTCAAATATGATCCCTGCTTACGTTTTCTCTTCGATCAAAGTCAGTTTTCATTCAGTGAATTATGTGTGCTGACGTGCCACATTTGTAACATACACAAACATCTATGGAAACGTGAGAAATAAACAATGTCTCAGAACCATTTCTGTACCCCCACCAAATTTACGGAATTAGGAGTAATGTATTATCACTTTTAGTTGTTTTACTTTTCTTAAGGCGCGCGAGGTAGTGTGTTAAACGGCATTACCATTTTGTCGAACAAGGCAAGACCTGCCAGTAGACATAAGGTCGAATTTGTGGCTTATCAGTCCCTCAGAAAATGGTACGTATCTTTCATTATTTTAATATGAATATAAATAATTCATCAGTAGATACATTGAATCATCAATAGGTACACCAATAAAATCTTCTCGGGCAATCGGCCGCGTCAACTGGTTACCGTAGTAAACCGACGTTTCGGGAACCAACTTTGTCCCCATCATCAGGGTTCTGATGTGACTGGATATCTCGGAAGTAGCCTGTGTATGCACAGGCCAGTAACCAATTGACGCGGTTGATTGCCTTAGAAGATTTTGTTGATTGTAATCGCCGCGAAAGTCTGAAATCCTATATCATCAATAGGTAGTTTACAATTTACCATACAGACCTATTAAACTTGTATTTTTACAAAAAAATAAAGTACATATCTTATTGTTTAATGATTAGTACAACACTTTATAAAGCGAATGAAATATATTTTATTTCTGAGATAGCGTTATTTTAGATTTGTTGTATAACAGGCCTATACCTGCATAAGCAGCGTCTACGTGCATCCACAAGTTTTCCTTCTTGCAAATCGGTCCAAGTTCGTCGAGACAGTCGATAGCACACGTCCCTGTAGTGCCCAGAGTTGCCACAACCTTTGGAAGAGAAAAATATTCTATCGCTGCTGCTGTACGAACCAAATGTATTATTTTAAAGACATGTTGTGGTCTGAAATATTGCCATTCCCTTCTGGATGCTGTCGGTCTTCGAATTCCTACTCGGTATCTAAGGCTTTTTTACATTCACTTACATCCCTTCAATTAAAAACGGTCCTTCTGTTAGATGCGCATCAGCTGCTAATGTTGTCTGCAGGGACTTCGATATATTTGAAACAAAAATTGTTTCCCTTCAACACATTCTATAATAACTGTTACTATCTGTATGTCAAAATTAGTTTTATTTCGACGTACATCGAACGAATAGACCTCCGGATGTAGACGGATGAATGTGGAAGTTTCTTCAGCTGTTACTTTCTACTACTTCTAATAAATTGTCATTCAGATGAAGGTCTGTGCAGTTGAAACTTATCTAATAAATTCGTTCGATTTCGAGATAATTCGATTTATCAGTGATGCAAACACGCGAAAACTCTGCAATAAAAGGTGTTAAGTAAATTAGATTTCGAGTTGCATGGATATATCAGTTAGGAAAACAACGAATCTGCAATAAAATTTTGCGGTTAAATTCGATTTCGTGTATGACGTCAGCGCATGCCAAGGATCCTTAGTCGTGTACCCATACTCATATTGATGCCCTCAGAAGGGATTTTAGGTGCTCAGAACAATTTTAGAATATTTATAAGGAGATTTTAATGTTCGATCGACTATTTTCTACACTTTCACGTTTTATCTTAGAGAGTTGTTATAGGAAATGCGAGAACACAGTCATAATCTACTTCAATTTATCTTTCATTTCTGGTATTTATACGGTTCCCGCTATAAACTGTAAGCTCTTTCTAGTTTTCCTTCATCTATAAATGGTTTGTTATTCTTTGTGTATACCTATTAGTGTTCCATTCAAAACTATCAGGTGAAAAGATCTTGATTCATATATTTATATCAGAATTACCATCACACAAAGATGTGCAGATCAGCTTTTATCGTGGTCACTTCTATTCTGGCATATTATATCATACATTGTCCAAGTCTTGATCTACAACAACACTAAATTTTCAGCAATACGATTTCATGAAATTGCCTTTTTAAGTTTCACCGTCTTACAATTTTGCAAAAGATACTTCACAAGACGTAATCTGCATTAAGCAGCGAAATAATTCAGTAAGCAATAGTACTCACATAGAAAGGAATAAGACCCTTCTCCCGGTCACTTCTAATGGCCCGTTCTAACGTTGCACCTCGCAGCCTGCACTTGTGGTCTGAGGGCAATAGCCTCATGGTCACAGCGCCCAGCACACCCGCCTTCTCAACTGAGGAGTTGGACTGATCTGCAATTCACGTATATTTCAGTTACTTGCCGGAATGTATTTTTCTACAGCTTAAATATCTACAGAATGCACATGCTCTGTACCTGAAGAATAGGCGACGAGTTTGGCTCTGATCGTGCCCGCGTCCCAGTCAGGATGCACTTCCATCAGCTTCCTGACTCTGCATTCCCTCGCGGCCAGCAAGGTCACCAGAGTCGTCTCGCTGGCAGATCCCTACACAAATAAACATCATACAGGCTCCCATTGAAGATCCCAGCCACCTGTTCTTAGAAGAACTATCTCTTGTATATGGACATATGGAACAAATTTGTTACACAGCATTACTCCAAATGGTACAAGTAGATTTTTATCTGTGGGTATGCGTCTTCAGCCACGGTGGTCCAGCGGTTAGAACGCTGGCCTTGTAATCCTGGGGTCTCGGGTTCGATTCCCGGCGGTGCCCGAATTTATAACTTGAGTTGGGCAAGGCCGTGGTCTAGGCAACACGGAGTTTTCCTCCGGGGGCTTCCCCGGTTTCTCCGTGGCATCCCAACAATTACTCCATTCACACACAGAAGAAGGCAATGGCAAACCACTTCTGGATCATCTGCCAAGAACGTATATGAACAGGTCCCAGTCCGAGAAAAAGATGGAAGGATCCTGTTCATATGGACATGTCGTCAGACA